CAAATTGGCCAATTATTGAATAATATTTGATCGTAGCATTCCTGTAGTCGTTTCGCATCTTTCTTTTCTAAACAAAAAACAAAATATCCGTGGACAATTGCGCAAAAAAAGATTGAAGAAAAAGAAGACAAAATATCCGTGGACATTTGCGCAAAAAAAAAGCTAGATTAAAGGAAGAAAAAAATATTAATAATAGAAAAATTTTATTACTGTATATTACTTGATAAGGAAAAGTTAATGAATAAATGGTAGACAATAGGACTAAATACATTTTGCGCCAATTGCGCCTCTCATACATATTTATATTAAACTTTTGTCATTTTATTATAGATTAAGATGATCTGTTGTAGACACATAAATTTTTATAAATTTCTTTTCGTTTTCTTTCTTCAATTTTATATTTTCCGGAAATTTGTAATTGGATGAATTTTTAACAGAAAAGAAAAATTCCGGATGACAAAAATAAACAGAAAACTGTCTTCAGGTTTTTGAAAAAGAGAGAGAGGGAGTAACAGAGAGAAAAATTAATCGAAAATGCAGAAAAATATGGAAATTCCTTTTCTCTTTAAAAAAAAAATTAATTTAATTGTTGTTGAAAATGATTACGGAAACGGAATTAATTAATTCATTAGCGTAGAATTTATTTTATCGCTTCCCTTAATAAAATCATTACATTATCACTCAATACTGTTCCTGCTATATGTCTGCTCCGGAAGTTGATGTTTTATATGTGTGTGTGTGTCTGTCTGTCTGTCTATTCCGGAAGTTGATGTTTTTTTACGGATTGAACTAACTTTTCACATATTTAAAGCTAATTCTTTCAGTTGTACTTTCAGAAATGAAAGGTAAAAGAGTAATGTTGTTTGCGAGCAGATTTGTTTTAGAGAAGGACGTTTTTGTTGTTACTAAATAGTTGAAGAGAGAGAGAGAGAGAGGGAAAGAGAGAGGGAGAGAATTAAGAGAAGCTATAGAAGTGTGTGATTTGACGGAAATGTATGTTGAATGATGGTACTAACCGGTACGGACTTTATTCCTGACAGACAGTCGGACACACCCACACTTTCAAATACATTACTCAATGACCAGACATAAAAATCCTTTGGCATTTTGCCAATGATTCCTTTTCTTTTTTTACTAAAGCTGGCAACATAGTGATGATATGAGAGGGACCATTAAAATAAAAGAAAAAGAAAAACGAAACTACATAAAAGGATGAATGAATAGATGATAGTTTTGGAGAAGAATATTTGATATTTTTAAGCGTTTAAGAGAGGATCAAGAAGGATAAGAAAGGGTCAAGGATCAAATGATAACAAGTGATTTGACCTCTCTATTTAAACTGTACATCATTTATATGTGTGCTCATTTGTTAATCAATCACATTAATATGCAAATTTTCAAATGCAAGAATATGATGGACTATTATCGTAAATTTTTTTTTGCTAATTAAAGTTTTAATTAAAATTTAATTCAAAATTTAAAATTTTCAAAAAGTACAGAATTTAATATTGTATAAAGATAGGATAGATGAAGAAGAAAAAATGTCATTCATAATTTTTTTTTAGGTCAAAAGATTGACATTTAATTTTTTTGAAATCTTTTTGACCTTTGACCTTAGCTTACTTATATTTACCTAACAAAATTACATTATAATTTTTAGGTTTTATTTTATTTTTTAAATTTACTACAGGAAATTTTTTCTTCACACAAAGTTTAAAAAAAAAACGAAATTTATGTAAACACATAAATAAAATAATTCATTTAGGAGAGGAACAATTATTGTTGAGCAAGAAATAAATATGCCAAGTGTTGGGATAATATATGTTGTCTAGGGTCTAGGCTTATTGTAAAATGTAAAGTAATTTGACTATAAATGAATGCATTTTGGCATTCAGCCAACTTTTTTCATTTTATGGCTGCCTAAAATTAGCCAATAAAAGAAGCTACTTTATTTATATGTGTCTGTTATCTGTCTCTCTGTCTGTCTATCTGTCTGTCTCTCTGTCCTTTTATCGTTCTGTACCATCCTATAATTTTTTTTTCACTTTAAAATTTCAACAAATTTACGACATTATATGTCTGTACATATTGTGTGTATGTGTGTGTTTGTATATATTCTAATGTGTGTATGTGACTATTAGGATGTATGTGTATGTGTGTGTTTTGTATGCATGTAATGTGTATGTGACTATTAGGATGTATGTGTATATCTGTGTTTTGTATGTATACATGTGTGTATGTGACTATAAGAATATATATGTATGTGTGTATTTTTGTCTGTCTATCTTTTCACCGATCTATACCATCTTAGAATTTGTTTTTTAAAGTTTCAACAAATCTACGACATTGTCGGTTTTGTCGGTATATGTATATGTGTGTCTGTATTATATGTATGTGAACTATTAAGAAAACCGTACGAAAAAATTTTAAATACAAATAAAAGAATTCTCATAATAAAATTTAAAACAAATTTCATAAATAACCTACGCCAGCTATATTACACGCAATAAACCATAAATTCATATACAGGGCCTTTTTGTCAATTAATAAATTATTTTATTTCATTTCAATAAAATTTATTTGTTTAAAAAGGCCCATCGTCACTATTGACAAAAGGCCTTCGTTACAATTGACAAAAAAGGCCCTAAGAGCTATCTTAGTGATAGTCCATTTTTTAAATTATTTCATTTACAAAAAAAGGGAAAAGAAAAATGGCCTAGCATATTTGAGAGAGGAAATGGAAGATTTTAGACAATTGGGACATTTTAATACAAATTACTCGAAATCTCAATTTCTTTATTTCTTTTCCACTCTCATTCATTCATTCATTATCTCAAATTTTCATTTTAAAAATTTTTCGACTTTTTTCTTCATTGAAGAAAATTTGTCATTAATTAATTAGCAATTATCCATTAACGTTAATTAGAAAGTCGGAAAAGAAAAAAAAAACGAAAAAATCTACTTCCGTTTTTTATGAACGAATGCATTTTAAGCAAAATGTTAATGAAATTAAATCATTGAAGAATTCATCGTTCAATAACCCAATCGTTTTCTTGCCTTATCCAGAAATTTACGAAAAAGAAGTCAATAATCCGGTTTTGAATTTCTTATTTTTCCGGAAGAAATTAGCAAGCAAAAAGGAAGTGATAAATTATTTTTGATATAATTTAAAAAAATGACGAATTATTTTAGATTTCTTATGTACGGAAACCAAGCAATTCAATTGATCCGCTTATTTGCCGTTTCAGTTGGAATAGTCAATACATAACAAACATCGGCCGGATCTGTTCCCATCAATCAATGGGATTAGCCGGTATAACACGCATTGCATATCATAATATGCCTATTTTAAAAATAGACAAGTCGAATTGGAAAGTTTTCCCAATTTATTTGGCTCTTATTTTTATTATATCCACTTGGTGTTTCTATTTCCTAAAAATTTTAACATAAGAAAAACCAAAATCTTGTTTTCCTTTTTTCTGTGTTTTAAAAATGGATAGGCTTAATTGTGTTATACCTTAGGGAATAGTGCTGCATTTTTTGTTTTGGAAAAAATTAAACTATTATTTCAGTTTAACTATTATCGTTATATATCCAATCGTTATCGAATATTTGAATATTGCACCGTAACCGTAATCGTATAAAAAAATATTACAAATAGTATTGAGCTTTCTTACTTGCTCATATGAGAAAATGATCTCAGCAAGATTGAATTCAATAATTTTTCTGTTCCATAAAAATTAAATACCAGTAAAATTTTCGGGATATATGATAATTCAATAAGCAGCTATGTCAATAATTCTACGTGATACCGAGATTTCTTGTATGAGATACCGAGAGATCTCTTGTAATTAAAAAGCGTAGATTATCCGTAAATTATTTCATCATTTGCAGGTAATTATTTTCGATAGTGGTGAAGAGTTCCAGTGCTTTATGATTATTTTATAATTTGACAAACAGCTTTTTTGTTTTAATTTTTTAACTGAATCCTTATCCAGTTAAATTGAAAGGATTTTATAATTTTATAGGTTGGATAACTTAGAGTATTCAACTAAGCATGCTTTCGATATATGATTTTATAAAGGGTCCCACCTATCAGGCGGAAATGATATAAGATGGGTTACTAATCAAAAGCTGCAAGAAGTTAACTAGAATAAATATGCTGGTCAAATGAAAATAATGTGAGTTCGGTTAAAGCGGAATAATTCACAAAAAAAAAAAGAGAACGTAATTAATTAGCAAGAGTGCGCATTGTTAGCGATACAAAATAAAGAATGACAGTGATTGTGATGGTTTAAAATTAAGCTAGATGTAAATTACTGTCAAGTAACTACAATGTGAGCTTAATGAAAAAAGATTTTGATATGTTAACTTTTGCTAGGACTTGAAGCAATTAGATGAGACAATTGAGAATATATTTCATTGTTCCTAGATTAACAAACAGTTGAATAGAAAGAATATAAATGGTAAACTGGTAAAAAGTTAGCCAAACTGTAAATACTGGCCAAAAGTTAGCTAGAAAATGCAAGTATTCTGGCCAGAAGTTAGCTAGAAACTGTAAATATTCTGGCCAGAAGTTAGCTAGAAACTGTAAATATTCTGGCCAGAAGTTAGCTAGAAACTGTAAATATTCTGGTCAGAAGTTAGCTAGAAATTGTAAATATTCTGGCCAGAAGTTAGCTAGAAACTGTAAATATTCTGGCCAGAAGTTAGCTAGAATAAAGATACTGGTTAAAAATTAAAACCTGAAATTATCGAATTTTTCTTACTCAAATTAAGAGAACATTCTTTCCACTCCAATATGATAATGAAAGAGGCAATGTATTTATCATTGTGTTAAAGTATTTCGATTGCAAAACTTTTGATTGAAAATTAAAATTAAAAAATCTTTCATAGAATGGATTAATTAAAATTGCATAGACATTCCACTGAATCAAATAATATTTTATAAATGAAAAACAATCGTAGAAAAATCAATGTATCAAATGAAATATCACTGATTAATAACGCAGGAAATCATTAAGGCCACCCAAATCACAACCATATTCAATTACTGATATTTCAAATTCCTTTAATGCTTCATTTCCACATTTATCAATAATTTCCGGTTTCATACAATCATAGTATTGTCGAATACCACGACATTTCTTCTAAAAATACTAATAATAATTTTACAAGTATTAATTTAATATTGATTACATTAATAATTTATATTGATTAAATTAATATTTTTAAGAAATTTAAACCATTCATAAAAAATTTTTTAATTTTTATAAATGAATTATTGATTGATAAATTGTATACCAGATCTTTTCCCGGTTCTGCTACACCATTAATAAATATTTGACATTTTTCATTATTTGCTATATTCATGATACAATTATAGTATTCCATAAAATGTTTAATATTTTGCGGAGTACAAATGTATCCGAAATGATCTCGAGCAAATCGAACCTATATTTTAATTTAAATTAATTTATACAAATTAATTTATTAATTTATAATAGTTTTTAATCTCTTCATTTTCCATTTAAAGTGACAAATTTCATATTTTAAATTAATATGCATAAAATTTTTGATATTGGAAAAGTTACCACAATGATAATAATCAAACATTATCACAATATAACTAAATTGAACTTCTTATTTTATAAATATCAAATCATATCAAATCGTTTGGAATATTGACTAACTAGTATTGACTTATTACCATCAAAGATGAAAGATTTCAAACAAACCATTTCATCATTAAGGCATATTATGATCGATTCAATACCAGCGCATAGAAATAAATTTGCATAACCATCACAAAGCCCTAATAATTCTTGTCGAGTATACTTATACATTGGAAATGATATCTGTAAATTTAGCTAGTATTAAGCAATAAATTAAATTTCTAATTAAATTAAATTAAAACAATTTAGTTATATCAATTCATGAACTCAATAATTTATATATTTTACTAAAAAATATTTCTAAATTTGATCTTAAATTGTATATGATGAAATTACTATTAATATAGGAATTCAGTACGATCACCTATAATATAACAAATAAAAGGCTTGATTATATGGTATGACATAATATATTTATTAAATTAATTTTATAAATTACGATAGAGGCTTTTTATACTATGTATAATATGTCTATTAATATTATTAGTAATTAAGACTATAAATTACGATTAATACTATGAATTACCATAAATTGCGATATGTTTATTAAAATAATATTGTAAATTATGATGAATTAATATATAAATTACGATATGTTTATTTAATTAATACTACAGATTACGGTAGAGACTTATTGCAATGTATACAATATGTTTATTAATATTATTAAAAATGAATATTATAAATTACGACAAATTGCTATATGTTTATTATTATAATATTATAAATTATGATTAATATTACAAATTACGATAGATTGCGATAAGCTTATTAAATTATGATAAATTAATATTATAAATTACGATATGTTCATCAAATTAATATTATAAATTATGATAAATTGATACTGTAAATTATGGTAAATTAATATTGTAAATTAAAATTAATTAATATGATTTTGATTAATAGTCTAAATTACGATAAATTGCGATATTTTTATTAAATTAATATTATAAATTAGTGTCATAAATTGCAATTAATATTATAAATTAATATTACAAATTGCGATAGCTTATTATTATTGTAATTCTAAATTAATATCATAAAGTGCAATTAATATTGCAAATTACGACAGCTTATTATTATTGTATGATATGATTAATATTTATAATATTATAATATAATATTATCAATTAAATTTATGATAGAGCAATACATAGATGATATCAATGATAATATTGATAAAAATTTTCTACAACATACATTTTTTAATATTGGTCGTTGTTGTCGCATATTTTGCAAGGTATTCATTAATGGTTGAATACATGATCGTGTTTTATTTTGCATTTCGTTTGTACATTCCTCGGATAATTGATAGGAAAATAATTCACCATCAAAAATTTTCACCGTTTGTTTGTTTGATTCAATCCAATGATTTGTTTTTTTGTTTTCAAAATTTTCCAATTGTTTATTATTAATTTCTTTCGTAATTACTCTTTCTATATTTGCTAAAAGCAAGAAGAAAAGATGAAAAAATTTACCCCAAAAAATTAATCGTTAAATTTAACAAAAAATTTAGAATTAAAAATTCAAATTTTTAATATTTCGAAATTTAACAAAATAATTGGCAGTAGTATTATTAATTAGTTTTAATTTACTTATTGTTATCATTTTTGGTTACTTCTTAAATTTTCAAATTGAAATTTTATGGAAAAAATTAAAGTTTTTAAATTTATTTAATTCGAAGAATTTATTTTATAGTATACGAAATGATAAAGGAAAAATTATTCTCTCTCTTTTGTTTACTAACATCTGTAATGATTTAAATGAGTGGTGCAATCAAAATTATTGATTATATCAGTGAAAAAAATTTGTGTCTCCGAGGTACATTTTCGTTGAACAGCGCCCAATAGGCAATAATAAAAGTGCGACATTTGATCACAATTAATTATTGCGCCACTGGTAGTATTTTGTCGAATAATATCGGCACATTCCTGTAAAATTTCAATATTAAATTATAATCATTCAATAATCTTTAATCACGAAATAATCAATACGGATCGCTTTTGTTTTCAAATTTCAATATTAAATTACAGTCACTTAATAATCTTTGATCTAAATAATCAATATGGATCACTTCTGTTTTGAAATTTCAATATTAAATTATAATCATTTAATAATCTTTAATCGAAATAATCAATATGGATCACATTTGTTTTAAAATTTCAATACTAAATTATAATCATTTAATAATCATTGATCTAAATAATCAATATGGATCACTTTTGTTTTGAAATTTCAATATTAAATTATAATCATTTATTATTTTTTAATCACAAAATAATCAATGTGGATTACTTTTGTTTTAAAAATTTAATATTAAAATATTACAGTCATTTAATAATCATTAACCGAAATAATCAATATGAATTACATTTGTTTCATTTGTAACAATATTACTTCATAGTATTTATTAACATTTTTTTTAGCAAAAAATTTGAACACTTATTTTTTAAATCGTTTTTAAACAAATTTAAGAATGTATGGATATAATGTGAAGTTAACGATTAATTACATAAAATTACTTATTAAAATGATAAGTGAAAATAATGATTTGACGAAAATTAAGTTGTTAAATTAACAAAATTTCCATAATCTTTTACAACAAATATTTATGAATCGGACAAAAGCTAACGATATTAAATTATTATTGTTTTTGATCTTATAGAATTATGAAATAGTTATTTAAAGTTATCGTAAATCTTTGAGTGAAAAAGTATGTATAAATCTGAATCATATATATATTTAAATCATAATTGTATTAATCATATATATGTAATCATATCATACATATGCGACTATATAATTTCAAATTTAATCATATGTAATCAGTTGTCATATATTCTAATATTCATATATTTATTATTGTTGTCATATATTCATATATTTATTTCATCCATTATTTCATAATAATTAATTAATAATATAAAAATTAATAAATTTGAAATTATTAATGATAATTTTGAATTCATTCCGAAATTATCATAGTTATGTGGTAAGTTAGCAAATTATAAATTTAGTACCTTTTTTTCAGCGATTGCTTTTCTAAGACATGTAAAAGAATCGGATAGATTGTCAATATTTACTTTCGAGCAAATTACTCCAAAATGTTCATCAACAAATCGCATCATCTAAACTTTTAATTATTGGATCAAAAATTAATTATTAAACTTAATTATTAAAATTTTTATATCAAATTAATTATTAAAATTTTAATTATTAAAATTTTAAGTTTAATTTTAATTTTTAAATGATGGATCAAAATATTGACATGTATTTAATGCATGTTAAAGAAATTTGTAAATTAAAATCTTTTCCAAAATTTTACAAAATTCTTAACGAAAATCTAAAATTAGAGATGATAAAAATTTTAGCAAATTCCTTCATGACAAAATTAAATTAAACTTTCTCGGAGAAAATGAGAAGAGAATGAAATTATTTCAATGAAAAGATTTGGTGAAGCTATGATTGAATTTGCTTTTTTTAATTTATTTTATAGTATAAGTCTGGAATTTATTTCTTACCAAAATATATCAAAAATTTTTGAGTAAATTGCAAAGAAAGTTTCTTACTTGTAAATTTCTTAAAGTTTTACATTTTATAATGAATTTTTACTGAATTCATTGAAATATGTGAGGAGGAAATGTGCCTGTACAAATTTAAATTTAAATTTAATTTTGAATTTTAATTTTGAAATAATTTGAAATGATTGTTTTAATTTTGAAATAATAATTATATTAATTTTGAAATGAATTCTAAATGAAGATTTCAAATTTTCTCTTATTTAAATTACTTTTTAAAAAAGAATTATTTAATGCTTATATTAATTAATTAATAACAAATTTAAAATATATATTAACTAATTAAAAAATTTAAAAATAAAAGTAAATAAATTAGAAATTGATAATATACGGGATTATCTTGACAATTATTGATAAGACTTGTTGTAAAGCAATTATCGAAGATATTATCCAGCAAATTACATAAATCGTTTAATTCTTTTAGATCATAATTTATAAATGGTAATAAAATATTATCAAAAGATTGATGTCGATTTTGTATTTTGTTCCATAATCTGAAATTCATCTAATATTAGATTCATTAATTACATTTATTGATTTAATTAGAATATTCTTTTTGACAGAATTTTTTATATTATTTTTTATGATATTTGAAATGAAATTTTAATTTTAATTTTTAATTAAAAAATTAAGCGATCAATAAGCGATCAATTAAGCAATCAATTATGAGCAGAAATTTTGATTAAAAAATTTCTTAAACAAACTCAATCATTGGCGCATAACATTGAACGATTTGTTCTTCTTGTTTTGTCGTACATTTAGCTGCAACTAATACTTCTTTATGCTAATTAATTCTTGAAAAAATAATTAATGGAATGGATGATTAATGACTTTTGATATCAGAGAATATCACGATGTATAAACATTTAAATCATTTATTGTGAACGTTAAAATTTCGAATCCTTCGATGTATCATCCATTTGAATTTTTAACTATTCCAAATTTAAATTTGAATATAAATTATTGGTGAAAAAGCAAAATGCTTTTGAAATCATTTCAACTTCGCAAATCGAATAATTAATTTTTTTAATTGTAAATTTTTAATTGCAAATTTTAATTGCAAATTTTGCTTAATTAGTTTTGACCTATCTTTTCTTTACATTTCTCCGTAAATATATAATTAACCAACGTTTAGAAATATTATTTTCACTATCGTCGAATGCTATTTCAACTGTTGGATTTGATTCCAAAAATGTATTTTCTTCCACTAGAAAATTTCCAAACTTAAAAAAGTAATCAAAATTGAGTAATTTGATTTAATTAGAATTCAAAATTTTCTAATTAAAAATTGAGCTAAAATTAGAAAAGTGAAACACACAAAAACAAATACTTTTCATGCCATCATTAAGCTTTTATTATAATTATAATTAAATAGATTAATTTAAATTTGCATAGAAATTTTTTTTGAAATCTTTTGTTTTAAATAAACAAACTTAAAGTCGAAAACTTTTGATTAACCGTTCTCTATAAATCAATATGCATTTATTTATAATATTTGTATATTTATTTGTATATGTTCTTTTATCTGTTATTAAATCAATATATACATTATATATGTGTATGTTCGTTTAATTTATTTATTACCTGCAACAGTAATAATACCTGTAATAATAATGGTGTCGAAAACTTTCATTTATTTTATAGCGTTTTAATTCATCAAGTGTAATGTTATTTTGGCAAAGTTAGATTTAAGTTATATTTGCCCCAAATAAATGCCTAAGCAAATTTGAATGCTTTTTTTCATATCAGAAAATAAATTTTTGCAATCGTATAAAATTACAGCAAGCATTCTGCTTCATAATCGATTCCGATCGATTTCGAATTATCTTACCGTAATCATAAGTAGGATTGATTTTTCGCGATGATGCACGACGATAATTGGAAGTTAGTTTTTTCTTGCTAAATAATGGATTGAATAAGCCATCAGTTGAAGTTGTTTGATCAGATCGTTCAAATATTTCCGTTGCATTTTCTATTCCATTTGTTGCGGTTGAAGTGATAGTGTGATAATTGTCAAAATTATTCCGAACTATTATATATCTTTGAATCGATGGATTTGCTTTAAAATTTCATAAAATTCAAACAATCATAAATTTATTGAAATAATTATAAAATTTTGCAGAAAAGAAAATCTAACAATATTTGTCCTCAAATTTCGTCTAAAATGAAATATTAATATTTTTTTTGAAGCCATTTTATTCATCCTCAAAGATTTCTATTATTTTTTAATGTTAACAATTTTATCAATCAAAATTTTCGAACTCTAAATTATGATCGATTTAAGCGCTACTGTCCAAAATGCGCCAAATTTACCTAATTTTTAGCGATTATATGAGACATATATCATTTTCTCATCTTATCATAATTAATGATTTTCTAATATATTCTCGAAATCATGATCGATTTAAGCGCTATTATCCGAAATGCTTCCAATTAACCTAATTTTTAGCGATTATTTGGGACATATATCATTTTCTCATCTTATCATAATTAATGCAAATTAAAAATTTGAAATACAAAAAGAAAAATGCTTTTATAGAGTTAAAAGTTGAAATTTAAATTTTTTTTTTAAAAACAAATCCATGATTTTTCACATCCTGTATAATCCGATGAAACAGATTTAATGATGCGATTGAACGAAATTTTCCGGATTTTCCGGATCAAAATCCAGTTCATCTTCCCAAAACAAGAGATATAATTTTTTTTTCTATATTTACTGACCATTTCTTTCTTCATCAAGTACTGGAAGCGCGGCCGGTAATTCATTCCGTATATATGCTAAAAAAAAAGAATGAAACAATCATAATTAAATTAAATTAAATTAATTAAATTGATTTCTCTTCCAGAAAATTTACTACTCTTTTATTGCATTGTTTAAATAATTTAAATATTATTCGAAAATTTGAAAATTTTTTAAAATTTATTAATTTAAAATTGATTTATGAAAATCTTAGCGGAATATTATCAGCAAATTTTCAATTCAAATAATTGAAAATCTAAAATTGTAATTTATTATTTGAAGTAATGAATCATTTTCTTTTAGATTATCATTTCATTTCAAGCATGTACTGATATTACTCAATTAATTTTATCCTCACTTATATAATTTTGCAATTCCTCAGAAGTGAATATTACTATCAAAATGTAAAGTTTGCTTATACTTGCATAATTGCATGCATGCAAAATCAATGCATGCAAAATTTCGATGCCAAACAATAATAATATTTTTCATTTCTTTTCTTAAAATAAAATGTAAAAATGTTTTCTCTCAAATTTTTTCCAAACAAAAACAAAAAGAAAGAATTCTATCAAAATTAAAACTTTGATGAAATTAAAAAGGAAAAACAAAAGCTTATCTTTTTATCTATCAAATAATTTAATTTATATATTTAATTATAATTTAAAATTCTAATATTTAATTATAATTTAAAATTTAGATATTTAGTGGTAATTTAGAACTTAAATAACTAATTTAAATTTTTTATTATTTATTTGAATTTAAAATATTATTATTATTATTATTATTTGATATCTAAAAATGAATTGAATTAACGAAAAATATTTTATTTTAAATTTGTTAATTTTATTACTAAAAATCAGAAATCTTTTTTTCAAATTAATTCTTCTCAATTGTTTTATTTATTAAGCCAAAATGATAAAGTATACTTTTGCCAGCTTCTTCAGTGAATTCACCAGTATCATTTATTTTTGCAGTATAATTCGCAGATTGTTGTATCAACTCTATAAAATGATATTTATTTTTTTTTTATTACTAACAATTTGATAATAATTTTCATAATTAATTTTTTCATTAATTAATTTGAAATGCAATAGGAGAAAAAGGAAATGAGTAATAAACGAATTAACATTTATGTCAGTTTTAAAATTCAGTTCATTTAAAAAATTGTAAAAATTTGCGTAAAAAAAAGAACCGATTACCTTTGCTAAGAGCGCATCCAAATGAGGTAATTGCATCAACGAAGATATAAACGCCGGATTTTTGGCATTTTGATTGTATCGCCGGTAATATGCAATCAAAAAATGTTGGTATACCAAAACATTTACCGGTTCCATGATTAATTGATGAGATATCCTGAATATGTCGCCAACAGTGTTGTTGTGACATTAGCGCACTAAAATTTACATTTACCTGTTTGGAATCTATAGATAGATGATGAAATTTAATAGTTCATTAGTCTTGAATTATTCAATTCAAATTTTGAATTAGCTAATTTCATATATTATCACATTTTTCTTTACATAAATCAATATCATATATCAACACCATTTTTATCACTTGTTATCTTTTTTTTATCAACCAAGTGATAAAAGCATACTTTACTTTAGTTGTAGAAGGATATCTGAATTTAGAAAATAAATTAAAGATAAATTAAAATAAATAAATTAATTAATTAAATTTTTTCTTTTTGAATAAATATTAATTTCAAAAACGAGATTACCATTGTTATTTAAAGAGACTTTAACACTTCTTATATATTATTTTAATTGCAAAGATATTAATTACATCAATTAATGATTTCCTATTGTTATCATCGTTATGCAATTTAAACAAAATTTTGAAAAAATAACAAATGGGAAAATTGATTCTATTAGAATGATTTCATTAATTATAATTTGCTTGAATCATAATAATTTTAAAATTACCATAGATAAAAATTTAATTTAGAAATAGAAGAAAAAATAAACAATTAATTAGTACCCATGAAGACAATCGAAATTTCCAAAAATCAATTTAGCTTTATTGCCACAATAATAGCGCATATTACGTTGTATGAAAATTATCATTTCGTTACGTTTGCATTTTTCAAGTACTTCAGATGTCATACATGTTGATCGACTGTCATGATAGGCACTACAGAGGAATAATACTGATTCACGTGAATAGAATGGAATCTATAATTTGCAAAACATTTTATTTTATTACATTTAAAGTATCATCATTGTAAAATATTACTAAATCAAAATATTACAAAACATTATAAAATCTAATTATGATTTTTAGAAAACTTGTTGTAAGCTTTTTTAAAAAAAAAAAATAAAATTATCAATTGATAATTTCAGATTTAATTGGCAAATTAGCTATATTGAAATTATCAAATTATCAGTTTACAATACTATAATAAATTGACATGAATTTAAATTATACGTTTTAGGAAATGAAAATAAATAATATTTATGTTAATTCTAACCCCAATTAAATTATATTAAACTTCAATAACCTCTGTTATAGGTTTAATTGGTAAATTAGCTATGTTGAAATTATCAAATTATCAATTCACAATACTATAATGAATTGATATGAATTTAAATTACACGTTATAGGAAATGATAGTAAATATCATTTATATTAACACCCATTAAATTACATTAAACTTCAATAACCTCTGTTAAATTTTATTAAATGAAAAAATGAAGAATTCAACAATTTAAATTAATATATTTAAATTTAATTTATGCAAACAATAGCTGCAAGCTTTTAAAGTACATAGAATTCTTTTAAAAATAGTTTGATTTAAAATTTAAGAAAAGAATTTCGATCAATTTATTATTAAATTTTTTCTCGTACATTTTATTTTTCAACTGCAGAAAAATAAACAATAGATTTTAATCGTTTAGATAAATAAAAATTGGATAAAATAAAATTCCAGTAATTAAATAAGTGATTAAATTGTTAATGCTAAATTAATAAGCCTATTGTTTATAAGTGTAAATTTCGATATAATTTAATTGTATTAAAATGATATCGCTTTTGTTTTCTATTTTAAACTTTTGTCATAAAAGATTCATTTATCTTAAAATTTTCAAATCATTTGAAACTTTTAAAATTTTAAAGAAATTAGCAAAAATATAGAGCTGAAATTTAATTTCTAATTTTGCGTTATCATATTTAATTACTCTTAGGTCAATTAAAATCAGTTAATTTTAATGAGAGTTGCATGTAGCTAAAAATAAATTCATTATTTTGATTATTTTAAAATTCGTTCCAACACACTACCGGATATACGAGATTTGATGCATGAGCTTCTTGCACTCTAATCATTTCCCATAGATCAAGCCAAGGTCGTAAACATCGTCCAAGTTTGGTATGATCGGATTCCAGATTGCATCGTGCCGATATATTGATTGCTATAAATGAAGAAGCTATTAAATTTTCAAATATTTTTAGCCTAATAATTAATTAATAGAAGACAAGAAAGTTTTAGCTTCTAAGCATTATCACTAATCACTGATAGTAATGTGTAAAAGATAGATGATCATTAATTAATCTAACTCTTATTGATAAGAATTGCTTTTACTGATTACATTTATAATTTGTTTGAGCCTAAATGTATTAATTTGGCTGTCACTTCATATTATCATTATGTTTATCATTATCATTACTGTTATTATCGGTACTATTATATTTTGCATAATTTCTTACTACTACTAATAATAATCTTTATCACTCTTTAAATTTCTCTTTATTAATTACAGCTTTTTTTTTTCTTAAATATTTCCTAATTTCAAATTTAGTTTATTTTTGAAGAGATCGGCGGTAAATATTTTTATGCAAATATTATCCTACACTACTTTTATATACTAAAGAAGAAGTTTTTAAAGCTATTAAAAAATGATGCTAGAAAAGTAAAATTGAATTAATGCTCAAATTTAACTCTAAAATTTAATTCTAAAATCACACACACACACACACACACACACACACACAATCATTATTATCTCTCCGCTGAAGTTAGCAATGACAATATTAATAGAGCATAAATGACTGATTTAAATCTGGTTTCAGATCATACCATATCAGTTCAGTTCATTCGAACAACTTGAAATGCTTGATCTAACTGGAA